AAAGCACCATAAGGTAAGGCTCACTCCGTCTCAAACGTCAGGATAGGTCATTACTGTTTTAATTAAAGAAAAGAGATACCCAATCCCTTCCTGCCCAGAACACTTGAGTATTGACTTTTGTGCGAGATAAGGAAGTGATTTGGGGCAAGAATTTATATATATGTAAAATTGATTACAACAGTTCTACATATGTCACTGTGTATGTGTGAAAGAAAGACAAAGGAGGATGCTTACTTTCATTCATTCATTCATTCATTCAGCTATTACTTGAAAAAAGTTAGATTAGGGCCAGGCGAGGTGGCTCAGGCCTGTAATCCCAGCACTCTGGGAGGCCGAGGCGGGCGGATCGCTCCAGGTGAGGAGTTCGAAACCAGCCTGAGCAAGAGCTAGACCCCGTCTCTACTAAAAATAGAAAGAAATTAATTGGCCAACTAAAAATATATATAGAAAAAATTAGCCGGGCATGGTGGCGCATCCCTGTAGATCCAGCTACTCGGGAGGCTAAGGCAGGAGGATTGCTTGAGCCCAGGAGTTTGAGGTTGCTGTGAGCTAGGCTGACGCCACGGCACTCACTCTAGCCTGGGCAACAAAGCGAGACTCTGTCTCAAAAAAAAAAAAAAAAAAAAAAAAAAAAGATAAAAGTTAGATTGCCTGTTGTTTGCCCAGTTTTAAGTTGGGAGACCACAGGAAACCTTCAAGGACTAGAAAACCTGCCTCATTTCTTCACTTTATGAGAGAGAAGTTGCACTTCCTTGCAACTGGTAGGAAAGTTCTCTCCGAATGACAAAATGGGTTTCCATAAAGTGTTTTCCAAAATAATCTCCTACAACCCCTCCTGCCTTAAAGTTCTCCAACAGGACACCGAAGAGGAAGAAGAGGAACAGGTGAACAGTCCTGTAACTCACCCTTCCCAAGAACCCAAGAAAATGTGCAAACACATACATGCCCCAGGGTAAAAACAGCCACAGCCTGCTGACATACCTGCTTGTCGCTTCTTGGGTAGGACATTCTTCTTCTCTGAAGGAATTTTCTAGGGCTGCCTGAGCAACCTACCACAGTCTGGGCGGCATAAACTACAGAAATGTATCTTCTCGCACTTATAGAAGCTGGAAGTCCAAGATCAATGCGTCTGCAGGGTTGGTTCCTTCTGAGGGCCGTGAGGGAAAGATGGGTCCCAGGACTTTCTCCTTAGCTTGTAGACAGCTGTCTTGTCCCTCTGTCGTCACACGGTCTTCCCTCTGTGTGCGTCTGTGCCCTGATTTTCTCTTCTTCTAAAGACACCAGTCATATTGGATTAGGGCCCCCTCTAATGACCTCATTTTAACTTAATTACTTCTTTAAAGACTCTGTCTCCAAGCACAGCCATATTCTGAGATACCCGGGGTTAGGACTTCAACATATAAATTTGGGTTGTTGGGGACACAATTCATCCCATCCATAACAGCCTCCCTCCCTCTTTCCAAGTCCCCAGTGGTGACATAATGCTAAAGAGCACAAACTCTGGGGCCAGACAGCTTTGGCTAAGCTATTTAAATGCTCTACCATGGTTTGCTCATCCAAAATATTGGGCTAATAATAGTACCTCTCTCATACTGTTATTAGGAGAGTTAAATGAGTTAATATGTCAAAGGCGCTTAGTACAATGCCTGGCACAGGCTGGGTGCAGTGGCTCACGCCTGTAATCCCAGCACTTTGGGAGGCTGGGGCTGGACAGAGGATTGCTTGAGGCCAGGAGTTTGAGACCAGCCTGGACAACATAATGAGACCCATCTCTAGGAAATAAATTAAAAAAGAAATTAGCTGGACACAGTGACATGTTCTTCTAGTCCCAGCTACTCGGGAGGCTGAGGCAAGGGGTTTACTTGAGCCCAAGATTTCAAGGTTGCAGTGACCTATGATGACGCCACTGCACTCTTGCCTGCACCAACAGAGTGGGACCCTAACCCAAAACAAACAAATAAACAAACAAAACCAGTGCCTAGCACAGAGTAGGCAATATAAAAGTATTTATTAAATGAAACCTTAACATCAAAACTAATTTTTACTAAAGTGTTAGGAGATACTATGTTACTCTCCCAAAGAATTTGCTTTCTCTGGGCAACACTTAATATCAGTAATGGGATCACCGATTCACAATAGGGGAACTCTAGATATTTGAGGGTGTGGGTGCCCAACATTGTTCAGAGTACACGGTGTAGCGACTACATGATCTACTTTAAAATATTAACAGTAGTCAACATTTATTAAATGTATATATATATATTTTGAGACAGAGTCTCACTTTGTTGCCCATGCTAGAGTGAGTGCCATGGCGTCAGCCTAGCTCACAGCAACCTCAATCTCCTGGGCTCAAGCAATCCTCCTGCCTCAGCCTCCCAAGTAGCTGGGACTACAGGCATGCACCACCATGCCCGGCTAATTTTTTCTATATGTATTAGTTGGCCAATTAATTTCTTTCTATTTATAGTAGAGACGAGGTCTCGCTCTTGCTCAGGCTGGTTTCGAACTCCTGACCTTGAGCGATCCTCCCGCCTTGACCTCCCAGAGTGCTGGGATTACAGGCGTGAGCCACGGCGCCCGGCCAACATTTATTAAATATTAATGGTGTTCCAGGAGGTGTGCTAAGGGCTTTCCTAGTCTATTATGTACGCTGTGAGGTAGGTACTATTATTATTCCCATTTTACAGTTGAAGAAATGAAGGCTACAAAATGCCACGTTGCAAGGCCAAGTGCTTGGAAAAGGCAGGATAAGCCTGGTGTGAGCAGATGAAGGGCTGTCGGGCGCAGAGCTTCGGGGAGAGAGAGGTCTTCCCTTTCCTTCCTCTTTCCATCACCCCTTCCCTTCTCCTCGGCTGCCTGATGCTCCCCCACGGCCAAGGCTGGGCTGTCTCTTCTACAGACAACATCCGAGCTGCTGGGACCCGACCCAGCACCACCTTGTGCGCCCAGCATTTCGAGGGGCAGCCTTCCAAACAGGGTAATAATCGTCCCATTAAAATTAATGTCCATGAAGTGAGCCGTTAAAAGCGTGCAGATTAAAAAGGGGGGGGGAGGGAATTGTTCAATTTAAATCCAAAGGGCTTTTTAAATAGACACTGTATCTTCATTCTTGGAACGCTCCACCCGGGCAATGGATCAGGTCCCCTCTGCAAAGACTAGGGGGGATTAAGGAGGTGAGTCCCAGGAGGACGGGGAAGTGGTTCTGGCCAGGAGCAGAGGGAACCAAGGTTTATCCAGGGCCCACTGCGTGCCAGGTGCTTGGCACACATTTCCCTCATTTAATCTCTGCCCCAATCCTGGGAGGGAGGTATTATTATTCCCAGATTACAGGGGGCAGTATAAAACCACGGTTAAGAGTTTAGAGCCTGCAGCAGATTGTCCTAGTTTAGATGCAGGCAACCCCAACTCTGTGAGCCTGGGCAAGAGGCCTTCTCCACCTGTGCCTCAGTTTCCTCATCTTTAAAACAATATAGTAGCCACACACCCCTCAACATTTAATTGCTGGGACAGTTGCTTTAGTCAGGAGATGCAGGGGCACGGGAAGCCTGCAGGTGCCAGACACAGGAAGCACTCTGTAAGTGCTGGCCATTATTAAGGGTAGGAAAATTGGGGCTGGGGGGTGGGGGTGCGGGCCACCCAGATCATAGAGCCCGGTGGCATCTGAGCCCTGACCTTGCTCTCTCACCGTGCTGCAGGCCACGGGGAAAACCTCTCCGCATGATAAATACAGACCCAAACCAAGGGCATGGTCTGGAAGAACCTTTTTTAAGGACCAAAGGACTCATCCGGCCTTGGCAATGCTCGACTGGGGGGAGGGAAGGAGGAGAGGTTCCCCAGCAGGTGCCAGACCACCGCCTTGGGGCCAGCTCCGAGCTCCAGTTTTCTGAATCCCCATCGATTTAAGATCGCAGGTCTCATTCTCCCCCCCAAAATCCTGAGAGCCCTCTCGGCCATCTGTACCTTAACTCCAGACTTTCTAGTCTGGAAGGGCACAGGGGCGGCCGTGGGATTAGAAAGAGGGGAACCAAAGGCCCCCGCCCCTCCCCACCGGCTCCATAGCGTCTCCACTGCGCGTTAAATCAAGATCGCCGCTAGAAAGTGTAACCCCATCCGGAAAATAATAACCACAAACAAAGCAGACAAGAAGTTTCCTTCTAGAAAGCACCTTGTAAGGGTCTTTCGGGTGCGGGTTCCGTGCGCGGCCAGGGCGCGCATCCTTGCCTTACCCAAGCTCAAGCCGGACCCCCCCCCCCGCACCCCCTTATCAGGTTTCGAACCCGGGGCCAGGGGCGCGTTAGGGTCAGGCTGCCGAGGCCAGAGCGGAGACGGGGCATGTGTCGGGTGTGTTCGAACCCTAACCCTACAGGTGCCCAGTCAGACCAGAGATGAGGCAAGTTAGGCTTCATCTGGCCCTTCCAGAAGATTTTGAACGCCCCCACCTCCCCCAAACAAAACAACAGCGCCGGAGTATTTTTGAATGATGCAGCCGAATTCGACATCAGCTCCATCCAAAACCGCAGACAAGCTTGCTTCCCTCGCCAAGTCGGAACTGGAGCTGAATTCAGGCAAAGGGGAAGGGGAAAATCTTCCGTCGCGCTCCTCGCCTCCGCGGGGGTCCTCCGAGACCCCCGACGCCGGGGACCCCCGCCGCGGGCGCCGTGTCGCGTCCGGGCGCGCGCGCTCCCCGCTCCCACACCGCGCGCCCCTCGCCGCCGGCGCCGTTAGGGTTAAAAGTTACCTCTCGGTTTCTTCTGCCTGCAGCCCCCCCCCCCGGGGCCGGATGATGTAACCCCCCCTCCCCGCGCCCTCCCCGCCCCCCTCCACCATGTGACACTTTAATTAATAATAGCGCCGTCAGCACAACAAACGCACAACACAGGGAGAAACTTGGTGTCCAGGGGAGGCCCCCGGCGGCTGGAGCGCGGGGCTGCGGGCGCCAAGGCCGGACGGAGCGGCGGCGAGGGGCGCCCGAGCGCGCGGAGGGAGCGAGGCCAGCGGCCATGTGCCCGTGCCCCCTGCACCGCGGCCGCGGCCCCCCGGCCGTGTGCGCCTGCAGCGCGGGGCGCCTGGGGCTGCGCTCGTCCGCCGCGCAGCTCACGGCCGCCCGGCTCAAGGCGCTGGGCGACGAGCTGCACCAGCGCACCATGTGGCGGCGCCGCGCGCGGAGCCCGAGGGCGCCCGCGCCCGGCGCGCTCTCCACCTACTGGCCCTGGCTGTGCGCGGCCGCGCAAGTGGCGGCGCTGGCGGCCTGGCTGCTCGGCAGGCGGAACTTGTAGGAACGCGGGGCTTCTTGGTGGGGCCGGAGCCGAGACCCAGCCGGAGCGAGCAACAGGTACGCGAGCTAGCGAGCGGGAGCCGGGGCGCGCGAGCGGCAAGTTTGGCTTCCTTCTCTTTCCCTTCCTCGGCTCCCTTCTCTTGCGAGGATCTGCGTCCTCCTCTCCTCCCTAGTCCCCACCGCTCCTTCCAAGTGTCAGGCCCACCGCTTCTCCTCCTCCTCTCTGACTTCTTCAGCGCATCTTGCAAGCGCGTCCCCCCGGCGCAGTGGCCCTGGCAGGACCTCAGCCTCCATAATCCCCTCCAGCCCCGCGAGTAAACACACAACGCAAGTCACAAATGCGCTCGCTATGACAACGTAGTTATACGCCACGCCAAATCATTATGAATCGGTTGCGGTTTCAAGACAGCTCTCCGGGTCCCCTTCCAAGCCACTTGCCATTCCTGAGTCACTGCCGTCTCCATCGCCTCTGCTCCCAAACCCTGTCTCCCTAAGTGTCACTTCTCCAGTTTCTGATCCCCATTCTCTGGCGCCCCGAGCGCACCTCGCGACTTCCTCCCCCCTCCAGGTGTCTGGCGGGCCCTCCCGTTCTCCCCCAGCCCCGCGCATTTGCAGTTTTCTTTCGCCCTGCCAACTTCGCTCCTCCAGCGACGTGTCCCGTTTAAGGAGCTTGGCCTCCTCGGCCCCAGACGGTTGTCGCTGCGACGAGGAGTGGGCTGAATCACGAGATTCTTACGAAAACCCCAAGGAGAAGTCTTAACCAAGGAGCATTTATTGAGCTCCTTCTGGGTGCTGGGCACTGGGAAGGTTTTGAGAGCTTGCTGTATGCTAGGCACTGCGCGCGCGGGCTGGGGGTATGGGAAGTGGCTGTTGAGCTCCTAGTGTATTTGGTATCTGTAGGAGAAATGTGCTAGGCTCTCGCGGTGGGGGAATTATTGAGCACCAGCTGTGCGCCTGGCACTGTCCTAGGCGCTTTGGGGCAGCAGAAATGTAAGGATCGTCTTTCCGGGTTTTGGAATAGAGGTAGCGCTGCAGAGAGTGAACGTAGAATCAGGCTGAGCCCACCCTGGGTGGGTGCAGGGCCGGAGGGTGAAGAACTCAGGTGACACAGCCAGCTGCACTGGGTCCGGGACGAGCCCCGCCGTGCGCGCCGCAGACATCCTGGGAAGCTGGCACCGAGCCCGAAGGCGAGGCCCGAGCGTCTGCGCCCGCGGGGAGAGGCGGCAGCCGGAGCGTGGGGGGTGGCAGCGCCCAGGGAGCTGCGGGGGTGCGCGGGGTGTGAGTCGGGAGCGCAGGCGACAGATGTCGCGTGGGCCCGCGCAGCCCGGGCGCTGGCTAGAAGTGCGCGCTTTGGGGCGCTCTTCGCCAGACTCTCGGGCGCCGGAGGTCCCAGCCTCTTCTCCCAGCCTTCTCCCCCTCCTGGAGGAGAGGCCGGGGGCTCCCTGGGCTGGAAGGGGCCGGGCTGGGGCTGCCCAATCCCAGGGGCAGGAACAACGTTTCGCAGGAGCCCGGGGAGCAGAAAAAGGTTGTGGAGCTACAGACTGGAAGCCCAAAGCAGGGAATTTGGGGAAAGGCAGAGCAAGGTGGGAGGAGAGGGAGAGAAATAAACGGGCGACGAAATGGGGAGGGAAAGGGAGCTCGCCGGGAGAGTGGAGAGAAAGACAAACTGGAGAACAAGTTGCAAGACAGTTTAAAAGTGAAGTGGAAGAAGAGTGGGAATGAGAGACAGCTAACAGACTCGGGAGGAGGCTGGGACTCGGCTTCCTCCGGTCTGGGTCCGGGCGAGATGGGAACAGCGCTCCCTGCCCGGGCCGGCGGTGCGGGACGTCGGGTGGCCCTCCCGGAGGCGGAGGACCCGCGAGCCCGTGTAGGCGTGGGGGTGGGCCGGGGGGTTCGGGGGCCCGAAGAGCAGGCCGCGCGGGGCGGGCTGAGTGCGCCCCTCTGCGCCCGAGCGCCGGGCGGGGCGAGTTGGGAAACCCGGCCCGGGCGGTGCGCAGGGGGGTGCGGCAGGTAATTGTTTATTATCTGAGTTTATTTTCCCCTGCTTCTGCCCCAGAGTTAGTCCCGTGCTGCCCCCAGACTCGGGATACCTCCTCCCCACGCTTCTGGGTGCTTCTCCCTCCTGCCCTGTCCTGCCCGGACGACCCCCGGAGCCACACCCTCGGGGATACTCCGGCCTTCGGCGCTCTGACCTCAGGATGCCCCGCAGGGATTTCCGACGCGGGTAGAATTGCGCGCCACCCCTTCCCGCGCTTGCATCCCGGGGCTCCCAGCCCTATGGCGTTCTCTCCCTGCGGCCCACCTCTGACCTCAGAACACCGTACTGGGAGCAGCTCGGGCCTTTCTTGCGCTTTTGGCTTAACTTGGGGAAACCTATCTTTTCCCAGCTCTGGTAAGTTAGGCAGAAGGGGAAGGAAGTCCCCTGGACACAGATGGGGGTGCTCACACCGTACTCTGGGTGTTTGCAGGGAGGCCTGTGTTAGCCTCCCTGAGAGTGGAACCACCACTTTCTCTTCTTTTAGGTGCAGGGACATGCTTAGCTAGAGGCAGGGTGGCCCTTCCGGCCCACTTGTTTTGAGCCCCTACTGTGAGCTAGCTGCACTCTTCTCTGAAGTCATCCTTAAAAAAAAAAAAAAAGAAAGAAACAAAAAACTGAGACTCAGTTTTCCCATATGTAAAATGGGGACAATAATAGCACTGAATGCATAGGCGTTATTAAGGGGGTTAAGTGAATTCATATACAGAAAGTTCTAGAACAGTGCTTGCTGCATAAGAAGTGGATATAGATGTGAGCCATCGCGATTATTATCGTGTATTATAATGTCTTTCCGAAAGTCGTCAACATGTTACTGTTGTTATTGCTGGCAGTTCCACATCACTGCTACCTGCCCCCTTCGGAGATCAGTGCCAGTCGTGCCAGGGTCGTGTAAAGCGCCCAGCCACTTGCTGACAGTGTCACCTTAGAAAGGACCATCCCTCACCTCCTTGAACCTTCATCTGTATAGGGGAGCTGTGTTCTTCCAGGGCTGTTGGGAAGATGACAAAAGAGCATTCGTTTAAAGTGTCCAGTCGGTGCCTGGCTGTTAGTTCACTCAACAGAGGATGCTATGAAATGGTTAGTGCCATTTTTGTTATTTCAAAGGGGAAACTGAGGCAGAGAGTGGCCACCAGAGTCATCCCAAGGTCAGACATGGAATTGGAGTTTCTGTTTCTGAGTGCATGCAGCACCCCATGACCTGGGGTGCCTTGGAAGAGGAGGTGCAGAGCTGCAGGCCTGGGGTACACAGCAAATTCCTGCACTGGTGAGATTCCATTTCCCAGAGAGCCCCAGAGGCGGCTCTGGGGGGAGGGGCTGGGGAGGCCGTGGGGGAGGATGACTTAACCAGTCCCTGCTCAAAGATATGGGAGAGAGGGAACAAAAGAGGCTTTATGGTGAGCGCTGGCTGGTGGGGGAGTGGGAGGGCGGGAGAAGCTGCCCTGGGAGGGGGCAGGGAGGGAGGATGGAGCTGAGGAATCTGCCTGGGAGAGGGCTGGTCCTGCCTTGGGACCAGGGGAAGGGGAGAGGGAGAGAGGGGGACTCTGCTGGCCCAGGAGGCAACGTGGTCAGCGGCAAGGAAGATAATGGGGCCAGCAGGAGCCTGCTTTTAATGAATTAATGACAGCCTGGCCCGCCGGCCAGACATGCTAACTGGTTCTTGGCAGGTACTTTGGGGATTCAGTGGTTAAACCTGGAGGCGCATCCCGAAGGCCCCCCTCCCAGCCGTGGCACCCCTGCCAGAATTACTTTTAGAGCTTGAAAGCCCGGCCTTCTGCTTGGCAAGGGGAGGGAGCCAGCAGGGCCCTGGGAGGACAGCTGTTGGGGAGGAACCCCCTGGGAAGGGGCCAGATGTGCTGGGCCAGGCAGCCTTCCCGCCACATGGTCCCTGTCTGGAGTCACCGGCTCGCCTAGTGAGAGGCCAGAGCACAGTGACTGAGCAGGGGCTGTGAAAACAGCCACACCCGGAGATAATTAAACACACCCCCAGAGGTGGGCTGGCTGGGTTTGGCAGTCACACAAGTCAGCTTCTCAGACCTACCTTTGGCGGGGAGGGAGGGGCGGGGGCTTTTGTTTCCTCAGTGGTATCACCAGTGACCCTGTGATGCGACTGCAGGACGGGAATAGCCAGCTAATCCAGCGTCCCTAGCTCCGGCAACTTGCTTGTCACGTAGTAGGTGTGCAATCACAACATGCTGAATTAATGAATCAGAAACTATGCAAGAGAGTTACTGTTGTCCCCCAGATTCTGTCACTTATTCAACTGCTATTTATTTATTTATTTATTTATTTATTTTGAAGCAGAGTCTCACTATGTTGTCCAGGCTAGAGTGCCCTGTGGCGTCAGCCTAGCTCACAGCAACCTCCAACTCCTGGACTCATGCGATCCTTCTGCCTCAGTCTCCCGAGTAGCTGGGACTACAGGCATGCGCCACCACGCCTGGCTAAGTTTTTCTATATATTTTTAGTTGGTCGATTTATTTCTTTCTATTTTTAGTAGAGACGGGATCTCACTCTTGCTCAGGCTGGTTTCGAACTCCTGACCTTGAGTGATCCTCCTGCCTCGGCCTCCCAGAGTGTAAGGATTACAGGTGTGAGCCACCGCGCCCAGCCTCAACTACTAAGTATTGAGTGCCTTCCGTGTGCAGGGCACTGTGAATACAGGAAGGACTAAGACACAAGCCCTTGCCCTCATGGAGCTTAACATTTTTGTGGGAAGAGACAGACAATAAGTAAACAAAGATTGTTCTGGTTACTACTGTGGTATAACAAATTACTCCAAGACTTCAGCAGCTTAAAAGAACTACAGTCATTCCTTGGTATCTGTGGGGAGGTTGGTTCCCTCAAATCCCTGATATAAAATGGTGTAGTATTTGCATATAATCTAAACACACATCGTCTTGTATGCTTTAAATCATCTCTAGGTAACTTGTAATACCTAATGCAGGCTGGGCTCAGTGGCTCACACCTGTAATCCTAGTACTTTGGGAGACTGAGGTGGGAGGATCACTTGAGGTCAGGG